AGTAAGTCCCCTAGCCTCTCTCCTCAGTTTTCTCCTCTGTAAAATGGCGTTGGGCTGGATGGCCTCAGAGGCCCCATCTAGCTCTCAATCTCTGACCCTACGATTCTATGCTGGTCAGTCCCCCAGCCCTGTCTTCTTGCACTCTTCCTACCGCAGATGTTGTTGGTTTCTCTGCAGATGTGTCCTCCATGTAGGTGCTAGGTAAGGCTCTTTCCAGAGCAGCCCATTCCAACAGTGCCTGCTTTGCCTCCTTGCCCCATAATTGGCGCCTGGTCCCTTTGTGGAGAGGAACAAGAGCCCTGTCAGTGTACTGCCATCATCCCCCCATCCTCCACCTCTCCCACCCCCAACGCCGGCTGGTGCTGCCAGGCCCCTTGGACTAGCCCCCTCACCAGACTACTCTCACTGTAATCAGACTGTGTCTGTCTGCACGGGGAAGAGGGAAAGCACGGGCCAGGTGGGGCTTGGGTCTGGACTACAGACCTGGGTCTGGGGTATTGGGGGGGTGTGAGGGTGGGTTTGATGAGTGTCCTAGCAAGAGATGGCTCCTAACTCACCGGGACCTCTGAAGAAGAATGAGCATGGCCGAGGGCCAAGGTGGGGTTGGAGTTGTCTCCGAGCTCCAGCTGAACCAGAGGGGCCAGGATTTAGAGAAAGCTGCTAATGAGATTAGCTGCCTGCCCCAGGTTTCCCTCGTCTTCGCCTCTCCCCAGGTCCAGTCAGATCTTCCTAGGGCTGGGGTTGGAGGAGCCCTTCCGGATTCCACCCACGCTGGGGAAGGGCTTTGGAGAGAGGCTCCTCCCCCTCCCCCTGCCCCAGACACGTGGGTAGATTATTCTCCTAGGCTCCAGCCAGCATCCTGATAAACTGCCAGAGCTCTTGTCTCAAAAATACTTTGCAAGTGATCTGGCATATACCTTGTATATGATTCAAAAGGCACAGAAATTCCTCACCTTCCAAAGTAGATCCAGTCTGGAAAAACAACTCATCCAATTCCCTGGCATGGGGGGGTGGGTGGGGGAAGACTTGTGTGGTTGCCTGCCCTTCCTCCTCTCCCTCCCCCACCCCTTTTTCCTCCTCCACCCCGTCGGCTCCTTCTTCCACTCCCTCACCCTCCCATTCCACCTCCCTGTTCCTGGGGAAAGCATTTCTGTGAGGGGCTTCTGTCTAGCACCACCCCCCTTCTGTCCATGTGCATCCCCCCAGCCAGAGGTGAGCCGCTCTCAGGAGGTGGGACAGTGTGAGGGAGCTGGTGTGGTGGTGGCTGTGGTGGCGGTGGTGGTGGTGGTGGCGGCACTTTGGACTGAAGGCTGGCCTTGGAATATCTGGAATCCATACTCAGCCGGATGACCCTGGACTTACCCCCTAAGCCTGCTTCCTCATTTGTAAAATGGTCGTAATGACTGCCTCACCTTAAATGAGAGCTGCTATCCCTACTCCTCAAAAAAGACTACCTGAGCACTCAAAAAAATAATTAACGAAGTCTGTGGTATCTGGATCAGGCAGTCTGGATTTGCCATGGACTTGGAACCGAGATAGAGCCGAATTCAAATACTGCCCCAGATGCTTCCCAGCTCTATGCCTCTGGGCTAGTTACTTAATTCTAGATCTGAGTTCCTCATTTGTAAGATGGAAGGGGCTAGATAGTCCCTGAGGTTTCTTTCATCTCTGAATTTAGGATCCAATGGTAGTTATGGCATAGCTGTTAAGTTGAAATGAATTTTATTCCAGAATTTTACTTAGATTTTTAAAAAACAAAATTTCATTTTGGTTTTTTGAAATGGCCATTATTTTTGTTGTTGTTTACTTGTGTCTGACTCTTGGTGACCCTATGGACGATATTATACCAATGCTGTCCGGGGAATTTTCTTGGCAAAGACATTGGAATGGTTTTGTCATTTTCTTCTCCAGAGGATTAAAGCAAACAGAGGTTAAACGACTTGCCCAGGGTCACATAGCTAGTAAATATTGAAGTGGGATTTGAACTCAGGTCTTCCTGACTCCAGGCCCAGCACTCTATCCACTGAGCCACTAGCTCTCATTACTTTTACTCCTTGGCAAAAAAACAAGATACAGTAGAAAGAGCAATGGGTTTGGGTCTAGAATTTGGGTTTCAATACTGGCTTCACTGCCTACATATTGGAGTGCACAGTTGAAAGGGCACAGTCCCAAGTACTAGGGCCCTGATTCAAATCTCACCTCTGATTTTTACTATGAAGATGACCTTGAGTAAGTCACTTAATCTCTCTAAATCTCTGTTGCCTCATTTGTAAAATCAGGGGGTTGGACTGGGTGACTTCTAAGATTTCTTCCAGCTCTTAGAAATCAAACCATAAGCATTTATTGATTGTTTACAATGTTCAAAGCACTGGGACCACTCTCTGGAATACAAAGAAAGGAAAAAAAAAACAACTACCTTCATAGAGCTTACATTCTAATGGGGAACACAACATGTAAATAAATAGATGCATATAGATACCTGCAGAGTAAGTGGAAGGTAATTACAGAGGAAAAAGCCCTAACAACTGGATAGGGGGTGGCTAGGGAAGGTCTCCTGGGGACTTCAGGCAGGAAGACCAATCAGGAGGCTTCTGCAATAGCCCAGTGAGAGCTAATGAAGGTCTGAGAGCTAGTCAAATTGAGATAGTTAACCTTTGGGGGCCCTTCTAGCTCTGTATCCTGTGATTCATTGATAGGAGGTCCGCTGCCTCTTTGGAAGAGTTTGGGGAAGATACAGTGAGAAATGTGAATTTCTGTGTCCTGTGTTTCGATGAATAGTAGGAACAAGGAGTCCTCTTGGTGTGGTGGCAGTATTCAAATTCACATTCCATATTTCTATTGAGCTGGAACCAACGACCATATTTTACACAATTATAATTCTGAATAGTGCAAATTTGAATATATTATATTCAGCCACTTTCATTACTCACACTAATTGGCACCTAACTGGGTTTAGTAAAGCACTATGCATATGTGCATTTTGATATTAACCTGGGAAAACATTTTGAATATGGTAACATTTCTTTCATGGCCAAATCATTCCCTTGAGTTTACAAGTAGAATTTATATTTTTGGCAGTTTGTACAGTTGTACAGGTGTTGCAGGTGGAAGCATAGAGTTGGTGTGAGGGTCAAATGGGATAAAGGATATGAGAGTGTTTTTAAGAAAAAAAGCGTATATGTATAAAACAAACTAGTGCGATTTTTTTTTGGCCAGGTACAGGTGGTTATGGTTAATGCTCAACTTATGGGCTGATGTCCAGCAGTATTAGCCTGAGGGAATGATTTATGTTTAGATTAAACCAAAACATCAGCATATATGTGTGTGAGATCCAAGTGAACCTTCTAACCAGTCATAGAAAGTCATATCTGAAAGGGATGATTGAGCTTATTTTTACAGATGAGGAAATCGAGGATCGGTGAAGGGATTCATCTAAGATCACATAATTAATTAGTGACTCAATCTAGATTTGAACTCAAGACTCTACCTCTCTTTGCTTCCTTTTTTTGGGGGGGGGGCAAGGCAATTGGGGTTAAGTGACTTGCCCAGGGTCACACAGCTAGTAAGTGTCAAATGTTTGGTCTGAGGCCGGATTTGAACTCAAATCCCTCCTGACTCCAGGGTCAGTGCTCTATCTACTGTACCCCCTAGCTGCTCCTCCCCCCTTTGCTTCTTTTGATGGAGGAAACACAGACAGGCCCTGCTTTGAAAGGGCTCTCAATCTAAGGGGGAAGTATTCAGGGGACCTCCTGAAGCAGCTGGATGGTACAAGTTACCAGCTTCAGACTGTGTGACCCTGGTCAGGTCATTTAATCACTCTCTGCCTCAGTTTCCTTATCCATAAAGTGGGGACAGTTACAGCAAGTACCTTCTAGAGCTATTGTGAGGATCAAATGAGATAACATTTATAAAGGACTTTAAAAATTTTAAAGGACTATATACATGCTAACTATTATTGTTATTTCTAGGGCTTGGTTTGGTGCTCAGCACACATTAAGTATTCTATAAATGTTTGGTCAATTGAACCAAATTGCTTATGTATATCTTTTCTGATTGATTTGTTTAAATGGAACTTTCTGCCTCTTAAAGAGAGACTTCTGTAGCCAGACCTACACTGATTACTGAATAGGAGTTGGCCCCTTAGGCTACAGTAAACATTAGCCCCTTGTTAAACACCAGCATGTGTGTGTGTGTGTGTGTGTGTGTACTGATAATCATGGTAGAAGGATGAGAAATGACCTGGAAGGGAGCCCAGAGATTGTCAATTCCAAACCCCTTGTTTTATAGAGGAGGAAACTGAGGTCCAGGGGTAGTGACCTGCCCAAGGACAAACAGGGGAGAAATAGCAGAGGCGGGGACTTGAACCCAGGTCCTTTGATTCTATGCCCATTGTTCTTTTCCACTACACCATCCTGCCTCCCATAGACTGCTGAACTTAGAGTCAGAAAGACCTAGGCTCTGAGGCTGCATGATGGTGCAGTGGATAGTGTTGGACTTGGATTCGGGAAGTTGTTATTTAGTCGTTTTTCAGTCATTTCTTACTCTTCGTGACCCTGTTCGGGGTTTTCTTGGCAGAGATACTGAAGTGGTTTGCCATTTCCTTCTTCAGCTCTTTTTACAGATGAAGAAACTGAGGCAAGCAGTGTTAAGTGACTTGCCCAGGGTCACACAGCTAGTAAGTGTCTGAGGCCGGATTTGAACTCAGGAAGATGAGTCTTCCTGACTCCAGGCCTGGCACTCTATCCACAGAGTTCAAATCTAGCCTTAGAGATTTACTAGCTATGTGATCCTGGACCAGTCAGTTAACCTTTGTTAAGTAGATCTGTTTCTTCATCTGTAAAATAAGGATAATATCAGCACCTGCTTCGTAGAATTATTCTGGGGTTCAAATAAAGGAGTGTCTGTCAAGTGCTTTGTAAAGCACTATTTAACTGTGCCTTATCATGGTGCTGCTCCTTAGGGTGAGCATGAGCTCCATTGGTCCTCTGCTTCTCCCACAGGGATCCAGCTTGCCTTCGGGCGCCTGCAGCCAGCTGCCATGGCGTCTCGCATCGGCCTTCGAATGCAGCTCATGAGGGAGCAGGCTCAGCAGGAGGAGCAGCGGGAGCGGATGCAGCAACAGGCTGTGATGCATTACATGCAGCAGCAGCAACAGCAGCAGCAGCAGCAGCTGCCGGGGCCCCCCACCCCAGCCATCAACACGCCAGTCCATTTCCAGTCGCCACCTCCCGTGCCAGGAGAGGTCCTGAAGGTACTGCCTGCCCTGCATGACTCCCTAGCACCCTGAGAATGCCGCTGTCCCTCCTAGGGCTCATGACTCCCTTGACACCTTCTTCTCCTTTCTCTCTGGGGCCGTAGGTGCAGTCGTACCTGGAGAACCCCACCTCCTACCATCTGCAACAGTCACGAGACCAGAAGGTGCGGGAGTACTTGTCCGAGACCTATGGGAACAAGTTTGCTGCCCACATCAGCCCTGCCCAGAGCTCCCCAAAGCCGCCTCCAGCTGCTTCCCCTGGCGTCCGGGCCAGCCATGTGCTCTCTTCCTCTGCAGGCAATAGCGCCCCCAACAGCCCTATGGCTATGCTGAATATCGGCTCCAATCCAGAGAGAGAGGTGAGTCAGGCCATGTGCTACTACTGGTCAGGTTCAAGGGCCAGTATAGGGCTCCGTGGGAGCATGAGCTAAGCTCTCAAGGAACAGCTAGTCTGATAGGGTCACAGTCTCTACCCCCAGGGAGCTTCCAAATCTGATGGGAGAGATGCAGTGTTTGCCTTCAGGTCCCCACAATTTGATAGGGGAAACCTTGGTCCCTGTCCTTGAATAGCCCCCATTTTGATGGGAGGAACACAGTTCCTAGACCAAGGAACTCCCAGTCTGATAAAGGGCAGGAGGCAACAAAGAGAGATATGATTAATACATGCTTCTAAAGCATTGATCAATAAACAGTTGAGGGTCACTGAGGAAAGCATGGGAGTGGGGTCCCTTCAAGACCTTCTGAAAGTCATGATTGTCAGAGTGAAGATGTATGTGTGTGGGGGGATGGTAAATTCACCAGGTTTCCCAGCTGCTGTGACAGTGACATGATGATGGCATCAGGTCCACCAGCAGGAGAGTCTCAGAATCAGAAGGGACCTCAGAAATGTTATCTAGTCCAACCTGGGCTTCAACAGGAGTTCCCTCTATATAGCATTCCTGACAAGTGGCCATCTGGGCTCCTGCCACTGCCTCTAGTGATAGGGCACTCACATGTACTGAGGAAGCTCATTCCGCTTTTGGACAGCTCTCCTTCTAGCAGAATGGGGTGAATGAGAGCAATTTGTTCGAAAGGCCGTGAAGGAGGCCGGAGCTTGGTCAGACGTCAGAGATGCCAAAGTCATCCATTGCAGCCTGGGTCACCGCCAGTCATCCTGACTTTTGTCCTGCCACTGGACTTTGGTGACTCTGGAAGAGAGAATGAGGCTGAGACTCTGTGCGGCTCTGCCTCACTTAAACCCAATTCATGCAAAAGTGAAGACATTACCCCATGATGTCTTTGGTCCTCTCTGAAACAAGGAACAGACAACAAGGATTTTTAGGAAATTTTTCCTAATATTGGTAGACAGCTCTGGCCTTGGAATTCCTATATCAGTGAGATCACAGGTTCAGCCCCCATTAGGCAAAAATCTGTCTCTATATACTCATTGCTCTTATTTCTTCCTTCTCGTGCTAAATAAAACATATCTGTCTGTTCCCAACAGCTCCTGAGATGCTTGAAAAATACGGTCATGTCTCACCTCTACCTCAGGCCCTCTTCCTTTTCACGATAAATAAACACCCCAAGTTTCTTCAATTGCTCTCACTCTAGCCTGGTCCCAAGTCCCCTTATTGTCCCAGTCCCCTTTCTCTGGACCAATTTCAGCTTGTCAAATGTCCTTCTTAAAATGTGGTGCTCCAGGGGCAGCTAGGTGGTGCAGTGGATAGAGCACCGGCCCTGGAGTCAGGAGGACCTGAGTTCAAATTCGGCCTCAGACAGAAGTTTTTCAAACAAGACTACAGCTGTGACCTGGCTTGGGCACAGTAAAGGGGGGGTTCTTTGATCCCATTCTCTGGATGTTATGTTTGCACTAATGCAGCCTTGGAGCTCATCAGCTTGTGGGGCTGCTGAGTCACACTGTTGAGCTGGGAAGTCACAAAACCTGGTCTCCCCCTGCCACCATTCAATTCAGCAAACAGTTTTTATATATATATATATAAATACATATATATATATATATATAATTTTTTTTTTGACTAAGCACTTGCCCAGGGTCACACAGCTAGTAAGTGTTATGTGTCTGAGGCCGTATTTGAACTCAGGTCCTCCTGAATTCAGGGCCAGTGCTCTATCCACTGTGCCACCTAGTTGCCCCCAGCAAACAATTATTAAGCACTTACTATACAAGAAAGGAAAGAAGAGAACAAGCATTTATTAAGCACCTCCTATGTGCCAGGCACTGTAGTAAAATGCTTTACAAATATTTTCTCACTTGATCCTCACAACAACCCTGGCAGGTAGGTGGTATTATTATTCCCACTTTATGGATGAGGAAACTGAGGCAGACAGAATTTAAATGACTTACTTGGGGTCCCACAGCTAGTGAGTGTCTCAGGTCAGATTTGAATACAGGTCTCCCTGACTGCAGGCCTCTCGCTGTATCTGCTGCACCATCTAGCTTGCCTCTAAGCAAAGCTCTCCTGGGGGAGATACAGAGTTAGGAGAAGACAAGTACTTTGCCCTCATTGAACTGTCTTCTAGGAGCTGTTACTTAGGATTCCTAGGGGTTGGAAGTTGGTTGTTGTACCCCCAGAGTCCCCGAGTCCATGCCTGTCACTCCCCCTGGGGTTTCTTAGCTTTAAGGAGGAAGCCAGGCTGGATGGGAGAAGGTGGGATAGAGCAACAGGTCACTGACCTAGGTGGCTGGTTGTTGTCTGTCCACCTTTAATCTCTGCTTTAGAGGCAGATCTCTGCCCTTTCCAGTCCCTCCTAACCCCAAATCTATCCATCCTTCCCTCAAGGAGAAGATGCCAAGGACATACAACTTACATACGCCATTTTCCTTCCAGCTCGATGATGTTATTGATAATATCATGCGCTTGGATGACGTCCTGGGATACATCAATCCGGAGATTCAGATGCCCAACACGGTATTGACAACCAAGGGGGGGGGGGGGGGGTAGGGTGGGGGACAAATGGTGAGTAGGTACTAGATATTTTGGGGAATACAGGAGCAAGATACGACATAGCCCCTAAGCCTGGAGAGCTTATGCTTGCTGAAGAGATGAGACAGTCACAGAATTTCCCATCTGGTTCGGCCCTGTCATTTTACGGAGGAGGAGACTAATGTCTAGTGAGGGGCATGACTTACCTAAGGTCACACAGGTAATAAATGGCCAGTGTGCTTCCTACCACTCTATTTACCACACACACACACACACACACACACACACACACACACACACACACACAC